AGCCATTTATTTACAAGTTCCAGGGAAACTTAACCACCGATGCTCAAGAGGGAGAAATGGCTCTAGAGAGCAAACAGACCTTTAAGTACTGTAATCCCTAGGGCTTAGTAGCCTAAAAAGAGCCAAGACTATCCATTTGCAGATGGTTTATATAGAGGCTTGAAGATCTTTATGGTCTATTAGTAAAGATAAACAGACTATCAGAAGAAATCTAGAAAGCGGATCTATAGAAATAGATCTTAAGACATCTATCTAGGACAGGAGGAGAAAGTTTTATTACTGACTCTACATTCTAATCAATAGGCTTTAGATATATTGTGGAAGGCAGTAAAGGGTTCTATGCAAAATATTGCTTGAGGATCTAATATCCTATAGTCCATGCTAATGTCAACCAATAGAGCTAACTTAATATTAAGCAGTTGTGGAGAGATATACTCTCATGGTTGAAAGGGGTAAAGATTTCAGAGCCCTAAAAAAAGAACAGGGAATAATTCCATAGGGAGCAATGGTTAACCATGGGAGCATATAAATACAGCTGACAGAAATTTAGATACTTCCATATCAAAGCTCTTCCACAAAAAGAGAGATCAAAGAAGAGACATATATCTCTGAGGTGATGTGGCTAATTCCTAGATGAGTCCTGGATTGAAGAATTTAGAATCTCCTTGGTAGACTGAATGATCACTAATTAGAAATAGACCAGGAAAAAAGGCATCTCAAGTCTGTAAGGTAGCCAAGGATATACATTTTCCATGGCCTTCAGAAGGGTATTAAGTACTGTAGTTCAAAAACTATATTTAAGCCCTTCTTACAATATTGAAACCTTCAGAATGAGGAAAGTAGCACTGGACCTTATGGAAGAACTCTTTTGGGAGATCCCATGGAGGTACTGAAGAAGATAAGTGGAAACCATGGACTGGGTACCAATATGGAACAGTCAGGATAATTGATATTGGCTCTTGCAACCTATGCAGAAGGGAAGTGTGGCATGTTAAGGGTGTCCCTTTCCTGAACGTATTTGATTTTGGAGAAAAGTTCCTCAACCTCAGTGGATGGTATTCATAGTTATCACTGTCCAAAGGATTTCCATAGGAAAGTTGACCTCCGCCCTTGTGACATCTTATCAGATCTATGGTGGAGAACCTGGATAGAGTTGAGCGAACCCGGACTGTAAAGTTCGGGTTCATACCGAATATTAGGTTTTTTGGACCCCAGACCCGAATACGGACATATCACTGTATGTTCGGGTTGGAGTTCGGTGTTCGGCAATTTAATGGCGCGTTTTGAAAGGCTGCAGGGCAGCCAATCAGCAAGCGTTTGACTTATGTGCCCTTAGAAGCCATCACAGCCATGCTTACTAATGGCATGGCTGTGATTGGCCAGTGCAGCATGTGACCCCGCCTCTATATATAAGCTGGAGTCCCGTAGCGCCGCACGCACATGAGGTCTTATTAGTGTAGGGAGAGGATGCTGCCGCTGATAGGGACAGCTTAGGAAAGAATTCTGCAAACTAGTACATTAGTGGGGTGGGGTGCACTTCATTTCTGAGAGTCAAATTGAAGCTTCAAATACCGCGGTTACATCAGAGTTTTAAAAAGTCATTTTTTTTGGTGCTAAAAAGTACATTAGTGGGATAGTACATTAGTGGGGTGCACTTCATATCTGAGAGTCAAATTGAAGCGTCTAATAGTGTGCTTACAGCGGGGTGGTAAACATTCTTATTTTATGGGTGCTAATCTGCTAAATAGTAAATTTTGGGGCCTGCTCTTCATATCTGAGAGTCAAATAGAAGCATCATTTAGTGTGCTTACAGCGCAGTGGTAAACATTTGTATTTTCTGGGTGTTAATCTGCTAAATAGTACATTTTGTGGCCTGCTCTTCATATCTGAGAGTCAAATAGAAGCGTCTAATAGTGTGCTTACTGCGCAGTTGTAAACATTCTAATTGTTTTGGTGCTAATCTGCTAAATAGTACATTTGCGGCCTGTGGTGCACTTCATATCTGAGAGTCAAATAGAAGCGTCAAATAGTGCGCTTACTGCACAGTTGTAAACATTCTAATTGTTTTGCTGCTAATCTGCTGCTTACATTGGAGTTTTAAAAAGTCATTTTTTTTTTTTTTGGTGCTAAATAGTATCTTTGGGGTGTTCACTTCATATCTGAGAGTCAAATCGAAGCATAACTTGGATTTGAATTTACTACATCGGTCACTTGTAATATTGTTTCACATATACAACACTTGTTACACAGATCTAAGTGATGGAAAACATTGATATTTTCTACACTAGAAACTACTAGATAACAAGCAGCTATATTTAAACCAGTGATCAATAGATAAGAGGTAGTTCAACAATATTGTAATTCTGGTGCAATACCCTCACAAGTCAAACTGAGAGGTCAGTTTATAGGGAAAACTGTTGCCTGTATACAAGTCTAAAACAATTTCCATATGTCATTTGCAGACTTTACATGCTGGAAAAACACAGGTGCCAAATGCTGTGGCTTTCTGCAGTGGGCATACTGGCAAGGAGGGCAGGGTTGAGGAGTGGGTGGAAGATGATGTGGAGGGTGATGAGGTCCTAGACCCCACATGGAATCAAGGTCATGCGAGTGACGTGTGCAGTTTGGAGGAAGAGGCGCTGGTCGCACAGAGGCACCAGCACAGCATAAGAGGGAGCAGGGTGCAAAAGCGGAGTGGAGGCTTGTTGGCATGTATTAGCTCGAGAATTACCAGTTATCCAAGTAATACACGTAGCGATCAAAGGATCCATAATAGAGTTGAGCGAACCCGAATTGCAAAGTTCGGGTTCGTACCAGATTTAACGAACCATTCGTAGTTTCACAGTGAGGTGGGCAGTCCGGTGACCAGGACTCAGACACTGTCTGGGCAGCGGTCAGACGACCGGGACCAAGTCTGCCTGATGTTGAAGTTAGGAGTCACAGTGTGGAATGGATTAGCAGGGTCTGGTGCAGGGTAACCGCACGCCCCCTGGTGTTGTGCGGCCACATACAAGGACCCTGATGCAGCTTCAGTAAAAAGAGTACTTGATACCAGAAGCCATCACCAGACTTATCCGCAACAGGATGTGACATTCACTGTAGCGGCTGTGCGCGCTTTTGGTGTTGACATCCTGTTGCTGCTCGCCTGTCTGAGCTGCAGCGTAACTTCGGCCTTCCAGCTCACCGCCTCATGAGACTGTGCGAGCAGTAGCAGACGATAGTGGAGTTTCAGCTGCAGCACACACGCGTCAGTGGCTCTGCACAAGACTTCCCTCCAATTGATCAGTGTTAAAGGATTTTCAAGTGGACTCATTACAATTACAGGGCCTCTAAAGAGTCCTGTATTGTTATTTGTCGTCACTAGCTTCCCGCGTCAGGAGTGGGTCATTTGCGCGCCTGCTGCCTTCCTTGCATGTGGCAGCCGTTTCTCAGGGTCCCTGTACGGAATGGAACCCTGATTCCCGCTATCCGTGGTCACCATGGTAGGAGCAGAAACTGGCATAGAAAGTTGATATGGATGACATCCGCATGCAAAGTTGCCGCCACGGGGATGTGCGATTGGCCCGAGGTTCTCTAGAGTCAACAAAGTGTCTGCGCAACTATAATGTCAACAGCTACTCTGCGGAACAGAGTTATCTTTTTTTTATATGTCCCAATATTTTGGGGGCTTCCCAATTAAAATATATAAACAGTGTTGGCTACCTTATCCTCCTCCTTCACCGCCACAGTCACCGCCACCTCAACCAATGGGTCACTTGGTATAAACTAGGTACACATTTGCAGAGGCTTGTGAAGGCCTTTTCTCCATGCATCAGCAGTTGAGCATTTCTCCATGCATCAGGACTGCAAACAGTGTTGGCTACCTCATCTTCCTCCTCCACCACCGCTTCCACCTACACCGCCATGGTCATCGCCTCCTGAACCTATGGGTCACTTAGTATAAACTAGGTCCATATTAGCAGAGGCTTGTGAAGGCCTTTACTGTATTGATAAGAGAGCAGATTCTGGAACTACTGAAATAGGCTGAATATCCTCTTCTGATGATTCCATATCTCTGAATGTATCCATCTCTAAGGATTCTTTAGAGTATTAATTCTGGGAATTGTCCAGAGTTTCCAAGCTGTAACACCTACTATGACGTCTTGATACACCTCCTGTTTAATATTACAGAATACACTGGACATGGGTAGATGGTCCTGTAGCCACTTTCAGACAGTCTGTTCAGAGACTTTACTTTTACAAGGCTCTCTTATCATATGCCTCACAAACAGTTCTTTAGTGTTACTTCCCTTGTATGATCTGGATTATTTTCTTCCCTAGAGCTATCATCATAGGGAATTCCCATTATTAATAGGCACTCTTTTGTTTAGTAATGACAGAACAAATAGAATGGCTCACCTATGTCTCTTAGAGTGTAACCTTTTTTCCGTCAGCAGAGGGATCTGAATCCATAACTGCATAAGATTCCTTTTTATCCTTAACAAAGCAAATCTCTGCTAAACAAGTAGAGATTGATAGATACAGAAAAATATGTAATATACCTTCAATAAAGAAACACTTACCAAGAAGGATAATTCAAAGTAAGATTAAAAACTACACACAAATCTACTTACTTAATATAGTAAAAAGAAAGAAAAAAACACCTTAAGAAAACATTGTGCTTAAAAGGGGAAGCCAATATGACCCTGCAATAACTGCAACTGGACTTATATTTGAGAATATGCACGAGCGAATCAGATATCCGTGCATGCAGGGAAACGGCATGGCGCGACCATTAGACTAGCCATTGCTTATTCGTAGGGATTAAACGCAGTGAAACAATCTTGAATGGGCCCAAAAGTAAGAATGAAAACTTAGGGAATTATAATAAAACAGGTCGAAAGGCTGAGATAGAGGAACAGAACAGCGAATAGCCTATTACCAAGTACAGAGAAATAGGATAATAAAGTTAGTGAATAACTAAAACCAAACAGAGGCATATAATAATGTAACAAAAGTGGCAGATAGTCATGAATGCACAAGATAAATAACCAGGTATAAAAATCACAGAGGCCTAGGGAAAGTGAATAAAGAGGCAAATGCATATTAAAATGCATATAGAATAAGTAAACCCAGCAGCTGTATTAAAAGGCACTAGAAAAAATTATTGCAAAATCTTTTACGAGAAAAGAGGACATTAAGATATATTCTGGTTTCCAAGTGCATACTGGGGGATGTTACTTTTATCCAATTTAATAGGATGCAATTTATTTAAATTAAGGACTGAGTCAGCCCTGCTGGGAATTGAACCTGTGAGCACCAAGAGAGGAACAAGTTATTATAGCAGCTATATGAAAAGGCATAAAGGCCTAGGAATAAAACACATAAGCCTAGGAATAAGTGACTCCAGTGGCTATATTAAAAGACACAGAAGCCTAGGAATAAGACACAGAAGCCTAGGGATAAGTGACTCCAGTGGCTATATTAAAAGATACAGAGGCTTAGGAATAAGACACAGAAGCCTAAGAAAAGGTGACTCCAGTGCCTATATTAAAAAGGCCCAAACAGAGGCCTAGGAATAAATTTATCCAGCTGATATTTTAAAAGACCCAACAGAGGCCTATGAAAAAGTAATCCAGTGGATATATTAAAACACAGAGACCTAGGAATAAGTTTGATTGAAATTCAAATTAGCAGAACACTCTTACCGTTTAGATGAAACCGATGAAGGGTAGAAGGGGTTATATCAATATATATGCTCTGTATGTGCCTGCCCAGCCTGCTACTCCTGGGTCACTGCAGGAAATAGGGTGATGACAAAATCTTGCTTCCCCTAGGGTCACAGCACGTAGATCCATGGGAAAGTACAAGATAGTGAGTTGTACTTTAACCCTTTCAGTGAAGGAATGCTAGTCCATCTTACATAAACTCCTTCAGGGATGAAATGTTAGTAAATCTCATAGAATCCTTGCAATCCACGTGGTCTATATGTGCATGTCTGGCCTGAGACCCCTTGGTCACTGCAGGAATTATGGTGATGGCATAATCTTGCTACCCTTTAGGGTCACCGCAAGTAAATCCATATGCTCTCTATGTGCATGCCCAACCTGCTACCCCTTGGTCACTGCAGGAATTATGGTGATGGCATGATCTTGCTACCCCTAGGTTCACAGCAAGTTAGAAGCCCCGGTCACTAAAGGGTTTCTCCAGGGGGTTACCTTTGCACAGGGCCACGTACTGAAGACTTCCCAAGGGAGAGAGGCTGAACTCCCTTGAGGCATAAGGTAACAACCCTCAGGTAAGCCAAAAAGAAAAATTCTCTAGTCTTAGAATGACTAAGTTTGTCCTAGGGATAAGACAGGAACAAAAAAGACTGAAGGTTTTAATTAGGTTCCTGTCTGGTTAGGGATAGGGAGGAGCTACCCATTGTTGTGCTGCCATGGATATGGCCAGGAAAGTGATTATATATATATAAAAAAAAACAAATGGAGGTCATTTAATTACTCCAATGGCCATTGGAAGGAATGCGCGCCTATATATATATATATATATATATATATTTAATAACATTCTACGTGTATTTTGATTATATATATATATATATTTATTATCTCATTATTTTTAAAAAATAATCAAAACTGCACTTTTACTGGTGATATCATTGTTGGGATGAGTTTTACTTTTTTAAAACACTCATATTTGTGTTTAGCAAAGTCTCTTGAGTATACCAAAAACCCTCATGTAAAAGTTGTATGGTGTCTTGGAAAGTTACAGGGTTAAATATAGGGCTTAAGGAGAAAATTGGGACAACCTGGTAATTAGGACCAGGATTAAATGGTCAGTGTGGACCTATAATAGAATTAAAACACTACATAGTGTAATACAAAAATGATAAAGTGAAAATAGTGCTGGTAAGTATTAAACTCACAAACATAAGTGAGAATAGGCTTCTCACCCCACCAGGGGTTAATACGAAGGATAGGACCAGTAGAAATCAGTCATATGGATCTTCATAAATTCCTCTAATAAATGTAGAAAGAGAGACACGTATGGTGAAGTACAGTTAAAATCACAGGAAATTTTATTAAAGTTGCACTTACAAACAGGCAGCAAATCTGGGTGTATTTCCATGTATGTGGAACCAAGTAGAAAGGAGGTGAATCCTCTTGATACCAGTAAAAAGATATAAAATACAACAAATACAATAAAATCAGTCACTTGATAGTTCCAAAATCCGATTTGCCCGTGTGTATTCTGTAATGTTAGTATGGTTGCAGTGTCGTATTGGCTTGCCCTTTTAAGAACCAAAAGCACAATTTTTTCCTAAAGGTTTTTTTTCCCGTATTACTTTTTATGTATCTATCAATCTCTGCTTTTTTTTGGCAGAGATTTGCTTTGCTAAGGATAAAATTGGAATCTTATGCAGTTATGGCAGTTATGGATTCAGATCCCTATGCTCCCTGAAAAAAGGTCATACTCTAAGGGACATAGGTAAGCCATTCTTATATTTTCTGTGGTTCCAAACAAAAGAGTGCCTATTAATGATTGGAATTCCCTATGATGAAAGCTCTATGGGAAGAAAATCATCTGGATCTAGGGAAGTCGCCCTAAATGATCCTTTGTTAGACATATGATAAGAGAGCCTTGCAAAAGTAAAGTCTCTGCACAGACTGTCTGAAAGTGGCTACAGGCCCACCTAACCCTGTGCCGTATATTATGCAATATCAAATAGTAGGTATCTCGAGACATCAGAGAAGCTGTTAAAGTGCAAATCCTCTGGACAATTCCCAGAATGAATACTCTGAGGAATCCTTGATGATGGATTTATTCAGAGATATGGTATCATCTTCGTATGAGGATATTCAGCCTATTTCAGTACCTCCAGAATTAGCTCAAGGGAATGATTTGATTTCCACAGTCCGTAGGTCCTTATATCTGAAAGAATCTTCTAAGGTTAAGCCTTCTACCTCTAGACTTTCTTTCGGATATCAGAAATAGCAGAGCATCTTTTCCAGTTCCTGGTACCACTAATATCCTTATGGTTCTATACTGAAGTTTTAAACACAAGGGAGTATCTTGCGTCTTCATCCATTGGGATATCAGATGTTTGTACCTGGGACTCTGCTCCTAAGTGGACGAAGAAGCACATAGACTGGCTAAATGTTCAACTCTGCCTGTTCAACAATGCTCTCTGAGATTCCATGGAGCATAGATGGTCTTGATCCTCTCTAATAGCCTATGTAGCAGCTGGCACATGCTTTCATCCTGCTGCAAACTCTTAGCTCAATCTCTAAGGAGCTAAGATTGGTATGGATAGATAATCTTGCTTTTGTCAGTTGACATTTAAACTCATTAAGCCGGAAATAGTCTTCAGCTAAGAAGCTTTCATAGGTTGTGTTGTACAAGAAATATGACTCTTTTTGTTTACTAGTCGGGCTCTTTGGCTCAGTACCTGGTCCGTGTATGTATCCTCCAAGATGAATGGATCAAAGAACGGCAGAGGGAAGGAAAGCTTGTCTACTGCAAGACATAAGGTTCAGGAGACCATTTCTATCCAAAGCCTATCATTCCTTTCCTTACAGAACCCAAGTATTTCACACCTGAAAGAGCGAATTGTAGATATCAACCTTGAGAAGTGGTTATTCTTCTGCCAGAGGAAGAGAAGAGGTAAAAAGAGACGCACTATAAATTTCAAAGCCACTACAACACAAAGATTCGGTTTCTAACAGGCGGATGGAGATCCATTCTAGATCTACATAAGTTTACAGGATTATTGAACATTCTTCATCATAAAGTCACCAGCCTGCTGCTTCCAACCTCCAAAGGAGAAAC